AAGTGGAAATATATCCCCGAGTTCTCGTCCTGGCCCTGGGAAATGCTCAAGGGTAATGGGGGTGGTGCTGGCAGGTGTACCTGGAAAGCTCCTTTCCCATGAGCTCTGGTTGGGTGGAGGACTCAGGAAACGCCAGGGCTCCCCCAGGAGGAGACTGAAGGGTGACTGAAGGATATTTTCTTAGTTGGAACTAGCAAGACTCCAGTATATGGAGATGGTCCTTGAGGGAGAAAGAGGAAAATGCAGAGTTCAAAGGCCCCTGATCTTCTGCTGTGCGAATGACCCAACTTTGCTGTGATTAACAGGGTTTCCTTCCAGGACTGCCCACCCTCCTAGTCTGTTCCCAAGTATTAACTTCTTTAAGAAAGTAACAGAGGGACAACAACAAAGACTTTGAGGAGGAATACGGTAAGCATTTGGGGACGAGGTTATAGAATTGTAGGGTAGATATTGCTTGGGTTCCACCGAGCATCTGCCACAAACTAAAATATTAGTATCTTTAGGTCATAGAAACAAAACCAAACAAGTCAGTGGGTGCTGTGACCTAAGACTTCAGCTGGATGGTGAGACTCCTGGACATCCCAGGAGCTAGCTGGCATATGTCATATGCTGAGTTCCTTATAGCTGGGTGGGCACCCACCTACCTCTTGTCTACCATATTGGTAAGCACCAAGAGGTAATGCTGTCCAACAACTGAACCTTTCACTCTGTCACAGAAACTTTCTGTAAACACCATTCCATACATTAAGACTTCAGAACTGGTCTATGTTCTTCAATTCTTCAAGGTCTCTGCTTCCTTCTCATAGGGCAGTACACATGATTTGGGCCACTCCTGAGTTAGTTAACTGACTTAGAAGAGAAGAAATAAATTCTGTTGCTTCAACTCATTGAATATTTTGACTGCCTAAGATGGGCCAACGCTTGGAAGACCATGAGTAGGAAGACAAGGCTCCATCTAGATAGTAACATCTTTGATCCACACACCTGGATACATGGAAAGGTGTTCTGATCCTACCATCGTATAACCGACCACTTCAAAACAGCGGCCTTAACAACATTCTTTGTTACTCCTCGTGATTCTTTACTGACCCTTGATTGGAGTTTCTCTGGCACTTGCTTTCAGCAAGATGGCAGCTGGAGCTGGAGTCACCTGCAGATTGCATTGGGCTGGATGCTCACACACTCAGTCTTCACTCACATGTCTGGTGTCTTCTTCATTCACAGGGCTGAAGGAGTTGGCCAGGACACTTTCTTCTCCATGTATCCTCCAAACATGGTCATCTTGAGGTGGCCAGACTTCTTACATGGTATCCAAAGCAAAGAGGCCCTGGTAGAAGCTGTTGGGTTTCATGTTCTAGTCTTGGCAGCTCCAGAACCTCACATCCTTTTGGTCAGTAGCCAAGGCTTCCCCAAGACTGAAGGTGGAGGAATTAGACACTGCCTGTTTATCTAAATTGCACTGACACAAACAGAGGGAGAAAACTGATGGAGAACAGTTTGGAGCAAACAGGACTTGGGTGGGGAAATCAGAAGTGCTCCCAGTGAAGGTTAGGAAAACCTTCACTGTGCACAAATGGGGCTCACAGAAGGACTGAGACTGAACATGCTCAATTAGGTGATGGGTTAAAACCAAGGCATCACAGTAGATCAGATGCCAGGGAGCAAAGAGGGTACAGGGAGAGTGATGAGTTCCAGAAGCCAAATAGTGAGAGGGAGGGAGAGAAAAAAAAAAAGAGGGAGCAGGAGAAGGAGGGGAAAAGAAGAGGAGGAGGAGGAGATGGAGGAGGAGAGCATACTGGGCTCTTCAGCCTCCCCCCAAATCCCACCTCAACCTGTATCAGGCCAAGGTGGGGCAAGTTTTAAAACTTAATTAGTTCAACAAAAAAAAATTTTAGCCTCTAGAGAACAGGTCCTCCAACTGGCCCAGACATGTGACAGCAGGATTCCCTGAGAAGTTGGTAGAAGTGAAAATTCTCACCCCACCCCCCACCCCCAGTTTTATCTAATCAGAAACCCAAGGAGCCAGGAATGTGGGTGCTTTTTGTTTTTCTGGTTCTTGGGCTGGAACTCAGGGCCTACACCTTGAGCCACTCTACCAGCCCCTTTTTGTGATTTTTTTTTTTTTTTCCCAGATAGGGTCTTGTGAACTATTTCCCTGGGTTGGCTTCAAACCAGGATCCTCCTGATCTCTGCCTCCTTAGTAGCTAGAATTATAGGTTTGAGCCACCAGAGCCTGGCAAGAATCTGGATTTTAACAAGGCTGGCAGAGGACTCTCCTGCTGGCTTAGTTTTGAAACCCTCCTGTCTAAAAGAACTCCACAAACATTAACTCAGATGGAACTGGATGTTGACCCTAAAATTATAGACTTTAAAGATGAAAGGGACTTTACCAAGTGTCTAATCTGGGCTCAAGTGGTAGAGCACCTGCCTATCAAGTGGGAAGCCCTGAGTTCAAACCCTAGTACCACCAAAAAAAAAAAAAAATGCAAGTGTCTAATCTGACTTTTAACCTCCTTGCACCAAAGGGATCCAAGCGTTAGAGAAAAAGATGAGGAGTCACCCCAGCCTTTTCTGCAGGGTTGAGATGCAACTCCCAACAACTCCCAGGGGAAGAAAAAAACACATGACTGCGGATACGGTTGTGTGGCTAAGTGCAGATTTAAGTTGTCTTCCACTGTTCAGAGCAAGGCGGGGCCCCTTACCTCCCCCTGGCTCCCTTAATTGAGGCTTGGTTTTGTTTGGGGCTTGCACAAGTCCAGCCTCCAAAGGCGAGCCAGCCTCCTCTGCAGCCTGAGGGACCCGCACCGCGCAGACATGCGGGCCTGGCTCTGACGCTTGCGTTTGGAATTCACCGGCCTCGGGCGCGCTGGAGCCCCAGCTCCCTCTGCTTCTGGGGAGGAGACTTAGCCTGAAATTTGGTGACAGATGGAGTTGATAGTCTCTCCACGGAAAGGGGAGGGGGAAAAAAAGCGCCAGTTTTTGACAGGCCACAGACGCCCGGTGCCTCTGGTGGCCGAAGGCTGAGTTGCGCCACCATTAAGGTCGCTCCTGAAGTCCCTGGCCACGGTTGCAGGGGTTGCAGGGCTGACTGCCCTTACACCGAGTGAGGGGCTGAAATGTGCACTTTAATGTCCACCTTGCTGCGTGTCTGTTTATCTCCATCTTGTGCATGGTGGCCGCGGTCGGGTGGTCACTCCCAACACCTGTGCGTGTCAGAAAACTTGTGTCACTAAACAAGTGAGTTGGTGGCTTGGACTGATTTCTGCCTGGCAAGATGAAAAAGGACACCTGCCAGGTAGGTTAGCGGTGGCTGGGAAGTGTGGGCGGATATAACTGTCTCACACCAACAACCCCTCCCCGAAGTCGTGTGTGCGTCTTTCTTGCCTGGTTTATGTGCATGCGTGGGAATGTATTGTTTGTTTATTATTTATAAACTTCAAAAGGACCACATCCCATTTTCAGGATACACCCTCCCCAAGATCAGGAATCTGAAAATTTAACTTTTTTCTTCCTTTGGTGGCACTGGGATTTGAACTCAGGGCCTCACGTTTGCTTAGCAAGCTGTCCATCACTTGAGCCACTCAGCCAGCCCGAAAATGAACTTCTGCAAGGCACAGATTGGGAGGAAGAAAAAAGGATTTCCAAAAAAAAAAAAAAAAGGCTGGGGGAGGCGAAAGAATGGAACAAAAAGTTCTGGGGTGCAAAAGGCTGCGGGGTCCCCAGGGCCGGGCTGGCCTAGGACACACGGGGCTGCGGCCACCTCAGAGCCTCCTTAAGAGGAGGAGCCGGCGCGCCCGGGCCGCGCGCCCTAAGCCGTCCTTTCAGGCCCTGAATGCCTGGCTGGGAGCTGCCCCCCGCCCTCCCCCACCCTGCAACCCCACTCCACCGCCTCGTAAAAAAAAAAAAAAGTTTCAACAACACCAGGCCGGACCAATGGCGTCTCGAGGAGCCGGGCCAAGGGGCTGAGCGAAGGGGACGCCGAGTGGAGAAAGGAGAGAAAGCGGGCCGGCGGCTGGGAGCGCGCGGGGCCGGGGCCAGGGCCGGGGCCAGGGCCGGGGCCGGGGCCGGGCGTCCGGGGGAGCATTTGCTAATGTTTTTGTTTGTTTGCTTTTCCATGCATGCATAATGAGGGGGCGCCGCGGCACCACGCGGGGGCTCCCGGCCCACTTTTGTATTTAAAGCCTCGCTGCTGCTGCGCGCAACTCCGCAGCCGGAGCTCCAACGATCCGCTTCCCCGGGGAGGCGTGGGGGCGGTGGGGGGAGAGCGCTCAGAGTCTCCCCTACCACCAGCACCACCAGCACCACCACCATCACCATCACCACCACCACTACCACCATCATCACCACCCCCTTCCTCCTCCTCCTGCCCGGGAGAAGCCGCGCCTCCAGGACCCCGCGCTCTCCGGAGCTCCGCGGAGGGGGAGGGGACGCAGGGCGGCCGGGCCGCGGGAAGGCGCGCAGCATAGCACAGCACAGCACAGCACAGCACCGCGCGGGGACGCACGCCGAGTCGAGACGAGTCGAGCCGAGCCGAGCCGAGCCGAGCTGAGCCGAGCCGAGCCAGGAAGCGGCGACGCGATGGGAGAACCGCTGCGCTGAGCCGAGCCAGCCCGGGAAAAGGAGGCGCCGCGCCGGCGGCCGCAACACCGATCTGCAGGCGCGGAGCAAAAATGCACTCGCGGCGCCGCGCCATCCTGCAGCCGGGCCGCGCCGGGGAGGCCCGCAGCCCCCCGGGGAGGCAGTGAGCCCTTCCCAGGCCCCTCCGGAGGCCGAGCCAAGCAGCTCTGGGCTAAGCGGGTGGACCGTGGTGGTGGTGGTGGTGGTGGTGGTGGTGGTGGTGCTGCTGCTGCTGGGGAGCCACCCCCACCCCATCAGGGATCTCGTGCATTTCCAGGAAGCCCCCCGGCCGCTCGCCCTTAGCAGCCCAGCGCGCATGGATTTATGAAGACGCTCAGGCAAGAGGTGCGCGGGACTTGGGCAAAACTTTTGCACCGGCTCCGCGTCCGCGCCTCGTCTGTTTGCCCACCGCGATGGTGGCCGTGCTAGGCGGCGGCGGCGGCGGTGTGGGGACCGCGCCGCGCTCCTGGCTGTGCCTGATGGCGCTGCTGCAGCTGCTGGGCTCGGGGCTGGCGCACGGCCGCCGCCTGGTCTGCTGGCAGGCGCTGCTGCAGTGCCAGGGGGAGCCGGAGTGCAGCTACGCCTACGCCCAGTACGCGGAGGCGTGCGCGCCGGTCCTGGGCGCGCGCGGCGGGGGCGACGTGCCCGGGGCCTCCGCAGCCTTCCCGGCCTCCCCGGCCTCCGCAGGCTCCGCGGGCTCCTCGGCGCGCTGGCGCTGCCCCAGCCATTGCATCTCCGCCCTGATCCAGCTGAACCACACGCGCCGCGGGCCCGCGCTGGAGGACTGTGACTGCGCACAGGACGAGAGCTGCAAGTCCACCAAGCGCGCCATTGAGCCGTGCCTGCCCAGGACCAGCGGCGGCGCGGGCGGCGCGGGCGGCGCGGGAGGGGTCATGGGCTGCACCGAGGCCAGGCGGCGCTGCGACCGTGACATCCGCTGCAACCTGGCGCTCGGCCGCTACCTGACCTATTGTGGCAAACTCTTCAATGGGCTGCGCTGCACCGACGAGTGCCGCACGGTCATCGAGGACATGCTGGCCGTGCCCAAGGCGGCGCTGCTCAACGACTGCGTGTGCGATGGCCTGGAGAGGCCCATCTGCGAGTCGGTCAAGGAGAACATGGCTCGGCTGTGCTTCGGAGCCGAGATGGGCCACGGCCCGGGTAGCAGTGGCTCGGATGGGGGTCTGGACGATTACTACGACGAGGACTACGAGGACGAGCCGCGCCCTGGGGGTGCGGGAGCAGAGCCACCGCTGGACGACGATGATGGCGCCCCGCACCACGCGCGCCCGGGGACGACAGGGGTGGCCGCGGAGACCTACCCCACGGGCCGGGCCGCAGGAGCGGCAGCGGTGGCAGCCGCGCTGCGCCCCGAGGTGCCTGGACCCCGCTGGCCTCTTTCATGCTGCTGCTGCTGCTGGTGTCGCCTGGGCCATTCTGGTAGACCTCGTGCCCTGCCGAGGCTGCTGGGGCGCACGCGTCCCAACCCGCGCGCGCGCGCGCCTTCTCTCCAGCCGCGCCCGCTCTGGGGCACCTGTGGTTGGGGACACTTGTCCCTACAGGACTTCTAGGACCTCCTCCCTCGCTTGGTCCCCCTAAGCCCAGTCTCCTGTAAGCCAAGCCATCAGCGCAGCCTGGAGGAACCCGCAAAGAGAATGCGGCTGACCTTGGTGGTCTCAGTGGTTCCAAGGGGACACGGTTTGGAACGGGGGAGGAGGGGCTAGGGCGAAGGAGGAATTATATTTGCAAAGACGCTGTTCGTTAGCAATTGTCCCTTGCAGGGGGGAAATAGTGACGGTATTGTCTTTCGTCACTGCCATTTTAGACAAGCATTGGTAAGTAAATAGGAAAGTCCTGCTGGGGGTTCATTTCTCTCCTCCTGATGTCCGCACCCGGCTTTCTCGGTGACCGTGGGTGGGAAAACGGTGATTGATTGCCTTGGGGGGACCCCTAAATTAGTTTTGGATAGCTCTGAGCCCGTGACCTTTTAAAACCATTGCTAGGGGCTCTGGTCTCTTAGGATCAAGGGTCCCAAAATGCTGATCTGAAGAGTCAGCAGGGTGTTGAACAACGCAATTTTTTTTTTTTAAAGAGTTCTGGATGGCCGTCTCTGAAAGCCTTTTGGGGGTGTGTGTTTTGCTGTCATTTGTTGTTGTTGTTGTTGCTGTTGTCGTCGTTCTTTGCATAAAGAAATTGTCCGTTCAGATCAGCGGGGAATGTACAGTGCCTCTCCCGTATCAGGGTGCTCAGCCCTGGTATAGCCTATATAAAGTGTATTAAAACTGGGTTTGTTACCAGTTGCTGTACTTTGTATATAGAATTTTTATAAATTGTATGCTTCAGAAATAATTTATTTTTTAAAAGAAATTAAAAGTTTTAAATCCACATCCAGGTCACACCTTTCTCCCCCCACCCCCACCCCTCCAGAAATGGATAGAATCCGTTGTCACCACAAACCCACAGTGCATTTTGAAGTATGCTCTATTTAGAACAGTCTTAAAATGTACAGTGTATTTTATAGAATTGAAGTAACATTCTTATTTTTCAAGAGAATTTATGGACATTGTAGAAATGTGTAAATGCCTTAAACATTGTATTTTTATAGACATCAACTTTTTTTAAAGTCCTGTGTTCTAAATAACTATGGCTTTGTGTATTTTTTTTTGGCTACTTGTTTTATTAAAATGTGTACATCAGTAAAGAATTTAAACAGTGAATGTGGTGTAATTGCTTTCCTGACTAACACTGTGGTTAGCCCAGTAACCGGGTGAGGAGGGGCATGGAGGGGCGCTGGGAATCCCTCAACCATCAACTGAAATCAAAATGCAGAAGCCAACGGGGGCCTCTTCTGCCTTCAATTTAATGAACAATTAGGCGTCTGTAAATGAGGCAGCTAAAAAGATACCTGACCAGCCTCCACTGGGTTTTGCATTTGCAAAGAGAATTCACAAAATACTGTCTCCTGTGCAGAGCTTGGGGATAACCTCCGGGCATCAGTTTTCTCCCTCCCCTTTCTCCCTCCCTTTCCCCACTTTGGGGACCCCCCTCACTTTTTCCCCTAACCAACCTCCCCCCCCCAACAGCCCAAGAGTGTCCTCTCTGGCAACTAGACACATGCCAATAACATCTGTTACCAATACATCCTAGGAAACTTACATGGCTCAGGACTTCAAAGTCATTTTTACACTTTGGGTGAAAAAAGTTGGAAATTTTGTTACAAAACATTCTCAAAACTGGTAACATTGTTGCGAGCTGTTGTTTAGCAGTGGGCTGAGGGCTGGGCTTCTGCCAGGGCTACCGATCTACACTCAAACGCCCTTAGATAAATAATTACACTCTTAAGCTGTGTCGAGTGCTGATACACTTGACCTTGTAAATAGAAATGTTTGCAGTACGAATAAACTCCAGCATTGGGAAATCTTTTAAACATTAACACAAAAGAGAGCTCTCTGTCCTCTGGGGATTTGAGCCTGAACCTCGCCAAGTGAAGGCACTTGCCAGGGGGGGAGAAAGGTTTATTTATCTTTTATTCCTGGTGTTTATTTAAAGCTTTTCATTTTAAACTCAGTGATTGGAAAACGAGTCCGGAGTTTAAAAGTCACCACAAATAAACTTTGTCTGAGGGGTCGACAGATTAGTGAGATCTGGTGTCTCTTTATTTGATATTAACATGTGCTAAAAAAAAAAAACAACCAGATTTCTCTGCTGCCCAAGGTAATTAACAAAGCTGTGCCCCTTCCAGCTGCCTCCCCCTCTCCATCCCACCCCCTGCCATCCAGGTTTCTTTTGCTGCTAACTTGCCCTTCACCCTGCTTTTATGGGGGTGTGGGGGGGGAGTACAGGCATCTCCTGGTGCACCTCACACCCACATCCCTGCATGTCTAGCAGGGAAAATGGAAGATAATTGTAGCACCAGACTTGAGCCTGGGGTTGGAGTCCCTCAGCCACCTGAATGGTTTTGCAATCATATTGTTAAAACAAAGCCCAGAGCTGTTGTTTCTTTGGGAAATGAGCAAGGCTACTCACTCCGAGAGACTTGGGAATAAAATCAGCCTTCTTTACAAAATGACCAGGGAGTTAGGCCAGACGCCTACATTTGTCTTCAATTTAAAACATCTCTATCTCATGTTGCTTTAACACATTCTTGACTAAAAAAGTTAAGTCTTTGTCCTAGGAACCAGCCCAGTTTTCCCCCAGTAAGAAGTAAAGACATTAATTAGCAGTACAAAAAACCTGATGATTAAGTGGTACAATAAACTCAGGACTTGACTTTACAGGGTTCTGTCAGAACCCTCTGCCTGCTATAAATCAACAGGGCTTTCTTTCTTGGTATATGGGGGGGAACGGGTAAATTGGGGTGGGGGACAGGCTGTATGCTTTCTTGGAGAATGTGAACATCAATCTGTGATCCATACACTAAGGCACCAAGGGCATCCCGCCCCCCAACACACAGACAGATTCAGTTGATTCCAGAGTAGGTTGGTGAGGAGTGGGGACCCTTGGACCATTGGTTGTGGGGTTCCATGTTGCCATCTGCTTCTGGACACAGAGGATTTTTACAGATGTTGACATCTGTAATATCTTGTACTCCCTGGGGAGCTCTGTGGAATTCTGGACATGTGGCCATCTCAGATGTCTTCTGGAGAATGCCTGGGATGCTGGCCGGTCTCTGGCTTTCTTGTGTGGAATTCTCCACACACGCGCACACACACCCTTCCCACAGAAGTCTTGCAGGGTGAGGGGACTCCTTTGGAACTTCACATAAAATCATGTGTCCTCATTTCCCCAGTTAGCAGGTTTGAATTCTCACTGACAGTTTATTTGTCTTTGGAGACTCTTCAGTGACAAGTGTTTGAGGGGGTGTGGGATAATGGGGGAGAACAAGGGGCAGTTCATTGAACTGACAGTGACCATACAGTAAATAGAAGAAGGTTCAGGCTTCATTGCTCACCGAGCGCACAGCAATGTCTTTGTATGTGACCACAATGGACATAACTAAGGCCTCTGTTTGTTTTTAACAATATACAGCAATGTACACATGCACCACACAGATATAAGGCAGAATGTAGCTGTAGGGAAGTGAACTCTTCCACTAAGTAGCAAGACATCTCTGCACTTGGGCAGTACATGTCCCAGCCTGGGTAGCCACAGATGCAAGGGGCCATTGGGCTCTGATGCCGAAGGGCACCACCGTTCTCCATTAAGTTCCCAGGAATGTGGGACAATGATCAAACTGACCCATCAAGAGCAAGAGAAAATCACATGTGTGGAGTTCCCTTTCCTAGCTCTGTATTCACACCTTCACTCCATCCCAGCAATGGCATACAGTATGGAGCCCAAAGAGACTCCCCCCCAAAAAGAGTGTTGGAAATCCACTGCCATGTTGGAAATCTCAGTGCTTTCACACTTCGGCTTCTTGAGTTCTTTGTGGAAGCAGTCTAGGTCTAGCTTGACCTCGTGTATCTCTTTTCAAAGACAGGAAAAGAAAAACATACTTGATTTGTTTTGTGACCTCTTACACAAGGGACAACGGAAATGTTGTCTGTTGACCTGATTTGTCCCAGTGACTCAAAGCCAGGTTGAGGGAGAGAGAGTGTTGAGTTACAGACGCCTTGTGGCCAGGGTGCTTGGGCCAAGCTTGGTTTCCAGTGAGCTAGGTTGGACATTCTCGTGTCCTGCGAGAGAGACCGTCCCTGAGAAAGGTTCACCCTTGACTATGACACAAGGATTGCACCATTAGCATAAACACCTTCCCGGGCAAGCATCTAATCAATTTGTTAAATCACAGAATGATGTACTAGGAAATAGTGGACTGTACACACTATATTTTGGCACAAAGATGGTCATTCTCCCACTAGTAACCAGGGGCTCTAAATAAATGATTTCAACAATGTTTTATTAAAGGCAGACAAGAGCCCTTGAGCTGCATTAATCTGGGGAAGTCGAGTGGCACTTTTGTTATGGAAATGTTAAGCACATAATAGCTCCATCAAACAATAGCAGCTACTTCATTCTTGTGCTGACACCTCTTAAAGAGGAACTGCAGGGAAGGATGTGGGAAAGATTTGCTTTCTGAGGAAGCTTTCAGCTCATATTTTGGAGGGCTATCTCCAAACCCTGCCTAACAGGCATGCAGGGGAAGCCAGGACTTGTGGAGGGAAAGGTGTCCTCACAATGGCAGGAACCCCAGTTCCCTGACAGAACCCACCAGCTATATACATATGTATGTATATATATATATATTGGTGATTTTTGCCATAATTGAGTTCAGTTTTATAAGGTATGAGAAAAAAAAGACTATAGTGGCTAGTGACTGTAATCCCAGTAATTCAGGAGGTTTGCAGTTCAAGACCAGCCCCTACAAAAAGTTAGGGAGACCTCCATCGCCACCCATCAGCTGGGTGTGGTGGTACACACTGGTCATTCCAGCTGTGTGGGAGGCCTAGGTAGAAGAACTGTGGCCCAGTCCCACCCAGGAAAAAAAATGTAAGACCCTATCTGAAAAGCAAAAAGGGCTGGATGTGTGGCTCAACTGGTAGAAGGCCTGAATTCAGATCCC